CGCATTAAAAAATTTGGTCTAAATATTCAAAGTAGGTCTTTCATATTGTTTTGTTAAAAGTTTTGTTGTTTATTGAGAATGTCTCCTGAAAATTTGTTAGCATTATCTTTTTAAAATCAAAAAGTTTTGGGCAAAATAAAGAAGAAATTTGGAAAGTGGGTCACATGTTTTTTAGTGAAATACTAAGATAAAGAAGGGGGTTTAAAAAAATCACACAAAAAATCCTAACTTCACTTCTATAAAAGATTTAAAGATGAAATTGGTGTTGCTGTAAAGCTTATAGCTAACCATTTAAAATGATGTATCATTCATGGCAATTGGACAATATTTAAATTTTGTGTCAAAGTACACGGTACCTACATGAAACATTTTCACAATTCTCCTCAACGTTGACCTCATTATGCAAAGGTCGCACAGGCCATTTTGGATAAGGGATCCCACCCCCTTTTAAACGGTGGAAAACGCAGATACTTAGCTTAGGAAATATTCATTATTACCTCTATGTACATCAAAATATTTGATAACTTTTGTTTCAGAATGCATTTTGAAGACATTTAAACTAGAATTTTTAAATTTGAGCTTTAACAACCCGGTAGAGTCCATATTATTAACGATCAGAATTGACCGTGTGCAAAAAGTCATGGGAAACCATTCACAGCCATTTGCATAATGCTATGCCGTAGTACTACCTCAAGTTTCATTCATAAGAGTTTGCCGTGTGCAAAAACTATTAACACCATTGGTCAGGGCTCAGGGAAAGTTTTGGTTAATTAGTCATGTGCCAAAGTTGAAAGTTACAAATAAGTAATTCCCAAACAACATTTTAGGGGGTGCGTTGCCTTATATAGACTATGTAGCATATACCGGTATAATGGACGCTGAAGATTTGGTAAACAGAAAAGCCATATATTAATACACTAAATTAAATTTACTGATATAAATAGTGCATAGTTAGATAAGCTACAATTTATCTATAATTGTTAACATTATTAAACTTATTTTTTTAATACAGCATTAGTTCTGAAAATAAAACTAAATTTAAACAAGAGTTATATAGCTCGTAACGCAAACAGCGGAATTGGGTCACAGAATCTGAAGATGCAGTCCATGTTAAAAAATGAAAAACGAAGTCGTACTTTAAAAATTCATAACTTTAAAACTACAACAGCTAAAAATATGATTCTGTAAAAAAATTAGCTCTATTCAACTATGCCATTGGTTTATTTTTACAAAAAGTTTTAATTTTTCTAATCAAAGTACCTATAAAGTCAATTCAATTATAAATTAATAATTGATAATAATAATAATTCTGACCAGTAGGGCAGGGATAATTCCTTATTTTAGTTAATTTAATTAAAAACTTAAGTCAGCTTTCACTTTAGGGTAGGTACTTCAGTAAAGCAAGGGACACTCCTAGAAAATTTGTATCGGAAATGGGTGTCAGCGCAATGGAATCCGAGTTTTTAATTTTTTTTATTTAAGTGTAATTTCAATGATATAGGAGTCCTTTTGGCCCATAATTAAGGTCTGACTCCGCCCATTCATTCACATTAGGAGAAATGTTAACCTACATTCCCATTGAGTTTTTTTTGTTCTGGCTAATTCAGATTGATCAGCACGTAAGCCGTGATGTCATTTGCGTGTTTATTAAAGTTGCCGTGAATTAGGGTTCAGGCTAGGTTTAGGGATACATTTAGGGTTCAGGTTAGGTTTAGGGATACATTTAGGACATAAGTTCGTGGGTCGCGATAACCAAGATGGCGGCCGCCGGCCGATTTTCTCTGAATTTGCCCTTGTTCTTTATATAACCTTAAAATGGTGAAAATTATATGTATATAAGGTACATGTGTCAAACTCAAGGCCACATTCGGCCCACCATATAATTATATCAGGCCCGCGAGGTGTTCACCAGCGTACAATTGTATCCAAGTTAACACTATGGTGTTTCCCAGTGCACACTTTGCTGAAAAAATTAGCTTACTTCGCGCCGAGTTCGCACAGCGCTTGAGTGACTTTTGAAGCACAGAAATGTAATTTCAAGCGGTTTCGTAACCTATTCTTCTTCTCTTATTATCTATTTTGAGGGCCCACGATCAATGAATTGATCGTTCTGGCTCCTATGTTTCAGAGTGGTTCGCAATGTTACTGTTTTCAAGGGGATTCTTCAACGGTTGCAAGGGCTACTCAGCAGTGCTGTTATGAACTGGGGTTTGGAAGACAGGAGGCAATAGACACAAATGTGTTGAGTGTAACCGCCTCAACTGTTGCTTATGGAAGCTTGTTCCAGTCCCTTACTGTCTTTGGCAGGAATGAGGAGCTCCTGTACTGAGTTCTTGTTTTTATTAGCCATAACTGCCTGCCGTGGCCTCGTCGCTGTCAGGGGGAAGATGGACAAGTTTCTGTTTGATGCCGGAGCAGTGGACAAGCCCATTTTTGATAATGTACAACATGATGAGCCTGGATAGTCGTCGTCGTTCTTCCAATGGTGACCTGCCCAGTGTTTCTAGCATGCTGCCAACACTTGAGGTGTTTCTGTAGCGGTTCAGGACAAAGCGCTGGAACGCCTCCAACCTGTCGATTCTTTCCTGGGTAAATGGGTCCCAGACTGTAGATGCGTACCCTAAAAGCGCCCGGAAAAGGCTTTATAGGCTTTTTCTTTCACGCTTGAGTTGCCGATCTTCAGATTGCGCCTTAGGTACCCCAGGGTCTTGTTTGCCCGGTTGCACTCACTGTTAATGTGCTCGTCCCAGCGGACCTCTCTTTGAATGGTAACACCTAGGTACCTATCTGAGGAAACTGGCTAAAGAATATGGCCATGCAATTCGAAGAGTGGTGTAGAGGGGATCTGCTTCTGGAGACTGACAGGGTCTGGCACTTGGCGGGATGAAATTCCATGTCCCAGCTCATCTCCCACTCTGCTAACTGATTGAGGTCCTGTTGTCGCTGGTTAGAACTGTTGGCGATCGTCCTATACACCGCAGTGTCGTCTGCGAACAGTCTTGCTTGAGAGGTCAGCTTCTCGGACAGATCATTGATAACAAACAGGGGCCTAGCACCTAGCCCTGGGGGACCCCTTACTTAAGACTGACATAGATGTGGAAACTGCACATGTAAATTTGCAGATGGATCTAATAGAGCTGCAGTGTAATGGGACACTAAAGGCAAACTATGACACAGTTGAGCCTGCACAGTTCACTTGTTTCATTTCTGAAGAGATCCCCCAGTTTCGTCTTCATGAGGCTTGAACCTTGAGCACGTTGGGTAGCACATATTATATGTGTGAGAAGCTGTTTTCTGTTATGAAGATTAACAAAAAAATCACACAGGAGTACTGATGAACACTTGTAGTCCATCATAAAATTTGTAGCGAAATATTAAAAGTATGTCTTTCATACTAATTGTAGGTCAGCATAATATATTAAAGTATTCGTGTGCAAAATTTCATTGCGTTAGCCCATGAAACATTTTCACAATTCCCCACTATGTAGACCTCATTATGCCATTTTGGATTAGTGACCATGCCCCCTTTTAAATGGCGGAAGACGCCAATACTTTGCTTAGAAAATATTCAATTATTACCACTATACAAAATATTTTGAAATTTGTGTTTCAGAATGCATTCTGAAGACATTTAAACTGGAATGTTTTAATTTGAGCTTTAAAAACCCTGTACCATCCTTATTGTAAATGATCAGAATTTTCCATGTGCAAAACATTGTCGTGGGCTTCCATTAACAGCCATTTGCATAATGGCTATACCGTAGTACTACCTCAGAGTTTCATTCATAAAAGTTTGCTGTGTGCAAAAACTATTTAAACATTGGTCAGGGAAATCTTTAATTAATTAGTCATGTGCCAAATTTGAAAGTTCAAAATAAGTAGTCCCCAAACAGTATTTTAGTAATAAGGGCATGCATTACTTTGTATATACTATATAGTATATACCGGTATAATGGACGCCGTTGATTTGGTAAACAGAAAAGCCATATATTAATACATTATATTAAATTTAATATTGGTTTAAAAAATGAAAAACAAACAATGGATCGCAACCAAATTTAACATGGCCATAGCTCTTGACCCTTTTAAATAGATCAATTGGATGACAGTCACTTTAAATAGAAGACAATATCAATTATTGCCACCAGTCATATTTCTTGGTGCATTCACTGCAGGATATATAAAGGGCAGTGTGAATATTTATGTGTTAAGTGGAGGAAAAACGAGCTGTAATTTTATTTATTTCTGTGGTAAGTTGAGGAAAAAAGAGCTGTAATTTTCAAGATAATCAAATTTATTATCATTGTAGACTGATACTTTTTATGTGTTGAAGTGTTATCTCAAAATTATAAAATAAAAGGCAACATTAAGCTAATCTATTCTTTAAACTTAATGTCATTACTATTTACAGTCACAATATATCCTGAAAACTCAGTAAAAGACTTTCATTATGTTTTTTTTTCAGACCCTCACTGGCAAAGAGGTATGTAGTGGTAACAGTGCTATCCCAAGATTGTATTATGTTATGATAATGATAGTCTTTCATTTCAATTTGAAAAAGACATTTACCCTGATTAATTTCAATGAAAAAGAAATTATTTTATAAGTGTGTCAGAATTTAAATTTATTGCATATTATTATCTAAATAAATTTTCTTTTTTTGTGTGCTCATATTTGACTCATAATAATAAAAAAAGTAATAGCCTCAGGATAAAAACTTTATAAAGTTAGGATTTCATTTACAGTTTTATTCATTCTTTAAACAAGGACCATAATTCATTAAAATTAATAAATAAAAATCAATTTATTTGCTATAAAAGTCATTAAAAAATGTGAATATAAGAAGGCCTTCACACTTAATTTTACAATGTTGATATAAGAATATTACGTACTGATGTTTAATTTGTAGAAGTCTGGTTGGTAAAAATGGTGTAATAAAGTCAATAAGGGTGGCTTATGTTATTTTATTGCTTCAATTCCATTTTATTTTTTGCTATTAAATGACTTTCTTGCAGATTGAAATAGACATAGAGCCAACAGACAAAGTAAGTAATGACTTCCAAGAGAATGATTTTTAGTTTTAAAATTATTCTTAGAAACAATGAGCACTTTTTTAAAAAAAAGGAAAATACTTATTTTAACATTTTTTCTCTTGAAAATTCAAAATGAATTTAAAAAGTGCTGCATATCATTGTAAGTCATGTCAAAAATTACTGGTACTGTTTAAATGTGTAACGCTGGAAAAAGATGTATTTCTTTATATACCAGTTTTAGTTTTTATAGTACTGTAGTATCTGGTCTAATTGTGGTCTGTGGTGCTTTGAATTTTTTTTCTCACATTTTAAATTTCAAAATAATAAAACTATTTTTATTTAAAAAATCATAAGTAGTATTTTTTAAGAGCTTTGGGATCTGAAAAGTTTTTGCAGTGTGATTTGGCTTTTATCTTACTCATAATGCTGTCAAGTGATGATATTGTTCCATGCTGAATATACATTTTACATAGCAATATAAGGGTCACAAATTGGCATTCAGTGTTAATGAAGATCATTCAGTGTTAATGAAGATCGAGTTAATACTGTAGTTTATTACAAAAAATGTGTGTGTTTAGTTTACTTAATTGAAAAAATTTAAAAAATTAAATAAACTAGCTTAACATTTTTAAAAATCTTTTTTACAGCCTTTAAATCTAGCATGTTGAAAATTGATCAGACAGTTGTTAGTATTTTTTTAATAAGCAGCTCTTGTCAGAAGTTATTTAATTTTTTAAAAGCAGTCCTTGCACAAACTACGTAAGCCAAGTTGGCAACCTGAGCCAAGTTTGCAGCACTGAGTTTAAGATTGTTTAATTTTCTGCCCATTAAAAGTTCTCCCTCTTAAATTAATGGATATTTTTTTACTGTTCAACAACAAGAGAGTTATTACTAAAGTATATACTCGTCCTAAAGCTGACCATTTTTTTTGGGTTATTTTTAAAGGGGATAAATTGAGGATTGTTATTGTATCTTGCCAAGGTCCTAGTTTATCGTAAACTCAAATACATTACTAGAAGCTTTAAACATTAATAAATATCTGCACTTAACGTGGGTTAATTATTTATTTGATTTGTTTTATTTTTCAAATAAAATATAGTTTTAATGTCATGTTTCACAAATATTGTTTTCAACAAAAAATTTTAATTCATACACTTTGAAAATTGTTTGTTATGGTACTGTGTTGCTTTCCCTTGCATAATATTTTATTCATTAGCTTAACTAGGGACTGGATTTTTGCTGACCCCTTTCACAAAAACACTATGCAGTTGGCAAAAAAATGCTGCACCCCTTTCCTACACCAGAGATTTTATGGGGTGGGTGGCTTTTGAGCCAGTTATACTTATACCATCTTCAGACTTTTCCAGTTTAAAACTAGGATGGTCAGGTTACTATTGAACAGGCTTTAGAACAAACATCTCCAGTGACAAGATTATTTTAATTGCAAATGTGAAAATAAGTTCCTGTTGGTATAAATTTCAGCAAGTTAACCTGATCCTTTACTTGAACAATTTAAAAACTGAATAAAAAAAAGATAGACACAAGTTCATCAAAATGTACATTTTATTTATATTTTTTCAGGTTGAGAGGATAAAAGAAAGGGTGGAAGAAAAGGAAGGCATACCCCCACAACAGCAACGACTTATTTTCAGTGGAAAACAAATGTAAATTAAATATTTCCGTCAGTTTTATCTGAAGTAAAATAAATAAACCTATAATAATGGTCTTTAACTGTTGTAAATAGGAATGTAAGGCATGCTAATTGTATTGAAATATTAATTAGTGGGTTAAACTATTCAATTTTGTGCATTCTCATTGTGTACAAAAAACTTATTGCAGTTCTTTTTAATTTAAAATTGATAAGATGCAAACCTTTCAAATTGTTTGACTAAGTCTCAAACTCCCTTCATATTGCCCCCAATATATTTTTTCACTAAGTCTCAAACCATCTAACAAGTAAAAATAGATTAAAAAGAGAACTGCAGATGTTAGTCAATAAACTTAACTTAAATCTTTATGACTAAATAATAAAAATTATTGTAAAATTTATATCATAACTTAGAAGTCAATGGCTCCACTTATCACTGTCAGATTATGTTCTGTAGTTCATGTCGTAATGTTTGTGCTATTATGTGAGTGAACAAGGGTATTTTTCCAGACCTGTTTACTCTTATGATTTTGGCGTACAATGTACAATTTTGAGGTGCATACAATATATATAATGTATGTTTATTTTTACTATAAATATAAGGTATTGAACAATTTTGTGATGATATTGTACGATTTTAAGAGTTTGATGGTAAACAGGTCTGTTTTTCCCTTTTAAATTTTTCTTTTAATCTGGAATTTAACTTAGGCCATGTAAGGCGGCGTCAGATTGATGATTAAAAACTTGGGTATAAAGGCTGTTTACATTTTTGTGAGCCAGAGAGAGACTATGTATTTTAGCTAGGAGTGAATTTATATTTTTGTGATAGGATGTGTAGGATTTCTGGAGGTAATATTTTTTCTGAACACCAGTGGTTATTTCTTTTGCATTTTGGACTGTCATGCCTACCATGCCAGTAAGTAAAGAAAACTATACCTTTTAAACACATTGTATTACCAGTATTTTAATTTTACAACGCATGAGCTCTACAGCGGCTAGAAGAAAAGTGGTTTCTACTTTGTTTTCTTAGGCAATAATGAAGAGGACATAATCTCTAGACAACGTACTTTTCTGCACACTACAGTTGTTTTAATTGTTTTTACTCCCACTACCTAAAATACCACCCACATAAACACACCGCAGGTTGGGAAAATCTGTCCTATATGATTACTTGTTGATTAAGTATCACCAAAGTTTTAAACAGTTTTAATAACTGTATGAATTTTTTAAGCTTTTATTATTCTTTTTGAAAGGTAACTCTAGAGATCATACATTGCGGAGTTATAAATGACTTCACATGCTAAAAAAAAGAAAGGGTGTCATGAATTTGATGTGACATATGATTAAAGTGCCTAATTTGTGTTACAATTGTTTTGTTAACAGGAATGATGAAAAAACTGCCAGTGATTACAAAGTTGCTGGAGGATCTGTTTTACATCTTGTGCTGGCATTGAGAGGTGGCTACTAAACATTCTGGCACTGAGGGTTGAGGGAGGGGATGCAAATGTGTTGAGATATCTTGAAAGGTTTACTGAAATTCTTTCAATTTAATTTACAAAATGGTGTAGGAAAAAATAACACCAAAAAAAGAAAGTAAGCAAGAGTACGGTAGTAACAATGTTTAATCTTTTTACAATGTCTTAAAACCGTAACATAAATTATTTTTTTATAACTTTTGACAATAAATAAGCATTTAAATAAGAAATAATAAATCTATAGATCTTAAAATAAATAACACAATGGCACTTCTCAACTCACCACTTACATGATTGGATTGGTTTTGGATGTATCCTAGTATAATACAATATTTTTTTTTAGAAATAAACATAAATCAACTTGTTTAAATAAAGCTGTCAATGTTATTTGGGTGTTGGCTAGATGACCCATCTCAGAAAAATATGCTGGCTTGCTACATTGAAATGTAATAAAGTAGCCACAATCTGGACTACCAGTGACTACCAAACACTCCAGAACAATAAAACGTTTTTGAGTTGATGAGTGCCTTGTTATTTTATTGCAAAACATGGTAAGATTTGAATGTGTTTGAAATCCCAGCAGTAAAAAAAAAAATTCTCTGTATTATATAAGATTGTAAAAAGCAGATATATTGGTATGTTTGTGCTTTTATTAGAAACTGAACTGTACAAATGTTTATTTATTAAGGTACTGATTCTAAAAACAACTAAAATAGGTAACTTCATAAAATTGATTTAAATTTTAAATAATTTGATAAAAATCTTTACTTTTTGTGGAAAATAAGAAAAGGAAGTTGGCATATTTTTTAAAACTCGAGAAAGCTTCAGTTTGTACAATTTTTTATAAAAGCATTTTATTTTCTCCTTGCACTCATATATTTCTTTAGAAAAATAGTTACGTAACCTGAACTATTATGATTTCATCATATTATAAATTCAACAAAAACAAAACTTTCACAGACTTCTTTAAAAATGTGTCTGATTAATGTGTATGTGAATGAATGAATGCCTTGATTAATAACCAACTGGACATGCATGTAGTTAATGCCAGAAATTTGTTTTATGTTTCTTCTTTATACATTATTTTAAAATAAAAATGTTTTTGAAATGGTTAAACCACTTTACTTCAATTTTTCTCAAATCTTAAATTCCTAAAAATCACAAAGTGTGTGTTGCATCTTGTAATTTTCTTCATGAATGAATTATATATTTTCTTGAATACTTGCAGAAGAAAGAAAATCTATATTTAAATTTAAATGAACAAAGCATTGAATACAAATTACAAATATAAGAATTCTAACCATGGCATTTAAATAATGCCAGTATTATCACCAAGGTCATCTCATTAGTTTCAGTCTTAACTTATTATCAGAGTCATCTTTCTTGTGTAAATTTTTTCACTGGAATCATCTAACACTATGCTCTCCAAATCGCAGGCCCCATGATGGCCCGGGACAGTTTGAGACATTTTTAGGTTGTGTGAAAAAAAAAAATATATATTAGAAAATTTGTTCAAACCACATTCATTGCTTTAGTATTGTTAGGAAGTCATGTGAGAGCACAAGAGAAATTGTTACCTACATGGAAAAGTTGGAGGTCACAAAAGCTAAGGAGTGGTATGGCTTGACATCTAACAATTATTTATGCTAAGCACATAAGCAATGCAACCATTTGGGAACATGGGTGACATACAATGGCATACTATTTTCTCCTCCTTTTGTGTCGCCCATAATAACTAACAGTGTTGAGAAAAATGAATGGGGAAACAAAAAGCAACTTGTATGTAGCTTTTGGTCATTTAAAAAATTTGATAGAATGTGTTGTCATCGGCAACGAGTCTATGTGCCAATTCTATGTGTCAATAGCTTGACGGGAAGTGGGTCAATTAGCCATCTGAAGATGTTGCCAGCCACCCACCTACGAATAAAATTAAAAGCGAAAAATGGCTACAATTTTATTTATATTCTTGATGAGCCAATTATGCTATTAGATACATGACTATTTATGTATTAGTTAAGAAGTACTTTTAATTTGAATAATTTTCTAAAAAGTTTTTAAAAAACGTTTCTTTCGTGATGTCATTTGCATCCCTCATGATCGCAGATTTTTTTTTTGTATGGCCCATTTAGTTACAAAGGTTGGATGTGTCTATCTCATCACCAAGCTCATTGGGGCCATCCATAAAAGACGTCCACCAATTTTTTGCTATTTTTTAATTTTTCCCCCCCCCCTTCCCCCTTTGTCCACTTTTGTCCACTTTTGACTTGCCCCCCCCTCCCCCCCCCCAGTTGTGGACGTCCAAAACATAAAATTTACCGAACTTAAATTAATGAATATTTTGGGAAAATGTACAACAATATAAAGAGTATGTATTTACTAAGATTTTTTTTAGAAATTCCAATTATTTGCAGGCAAAATTCTAAATGAAATAATAACTGTTCAAAAACATTTTATTGAATCACTGTATTAAAAAAATGTAATAAACAAATAATCCACCATTCTTCAATCCACGGAAAATTCGGACTGCAGCCATTGAAACATGTTTCGTATAATGACAAAATCTGTTCTTGAGTCTTCAATTGCTAATTCAATTTGAGTGGCAGTCTCTTCGTCTGATTCGTCTGCCATATTATGCTCACTAGCAGGAATATTGCAATGGACGACCTTATGTTTTTTCATTGCCGCCTGTGATGGGAAATATGTACAGCAGAAACATATTCTCTTGGAAATTCTCCCAGTCACCGATGGACAATAGGGATCAAAAGGCATGCTACAGTAACTGTGATCGGGGAGTAAATTTGCAGTAAATTTATGCAAAACTGCTGCACTCAAAAAACACTACAATGTGGACATCCACTTTGTCATAAACCCCCTCCCCCCTTTGTCCACTTTAGTCCACTTTTTGCTGAACCCCCCCTCCCCCCTTTTGTGTGGACGTCTTTTATGGATGACCCCATTTCACTAGTGCCCTTTTTTGTTCACATTTTTTACCCCCAGAAGCGTCAATCCAACAAATTTAGTTAGTGTTAATCAGCCCTCAAAATTGTGTTAACCTTTGCCTTGTCTGTCTGATAGATGAATGATTGAATCTGTAATGATATTCTTGGACAGACATGAGGAAAAAATAGAACCATAAAGAATTATTAGGTCTCAGAAAAAAATCAAATTGCAATTCAGAAAAAGACACTAGTTCAATTCAGGGCTTCTCGAACTATTCAGTGTGATGGACTTGCAGAATTTATCCTGATAGCAGAAGGGTTTGGTGGCCAATATATTGATTGTTGTTATTTTGTTGTCTCGTTTTGTATATTTTGGGCACTGGTCGCCTCCATGATGTCTCAGCATTTAACTTTCTCCATGGTGTGAAGTTGCTGTGAGAATTGTTAAACCCAGATCTGGACGGTAGTCATCAGCACAGCCTGAGAGGAGGTAGGGGGGTAGAGTAACATGGGGTTCTGCCCTGAAAAAATTTGGCTGAATTGCTTCTAGTTCGCTCCTCTCAGTCTCAAGGTTCTCTCAAAAGAAACGCAAGAGGAATAGAATACCAGTCCACTATATAAAGGTATAAGTGGAGGGCTTGTCAATCCTATTCAAGGGTGGCACAACACAGAATTTAAATGGATCATTTATTTGTGATTGATAAAAAATAATGAAATATTAATTTAATGAAAACCCATATCAGTAGGCCTAAATATTTGGTCAAATATTTTTAATCTCATTAGGTCCGAACAAATAATAGATATGCACATGAGAACAGGTTCCTATATTAAGACTTTCTCTCTACTCGCATTTCCATCATGTGTAAGGATGGAGTTGGAGCATTATTTTTTTTGTTTACACACGTGACATTTTAAGATTTCTCGTGCAGTGTTCACATGGTGAGCGACTGGACTACTTGAGAATTCTGGGCTGACGGAGACTCGTTGACATCGAAATTATTGTTGTTGACTGCGTCTTCTTCATTGAGTGAACGGTGAGCTCAGATCTAATTTTTTATTTTGTTTTATACCTAGGTAAAAGTTACGCCACTTATCCGGGATTTTGTAAGCATTTGATGTAAATGTTTAGAGTGTTAATAATTCGACGTTCGTCGATATTTTAAAGATTACAATCTTAATATGGTAATAAAAAGTAGAAAATGCAAAGAAGTTAACTGTGATTTTGTCACAGACGAGTTAAAAAGCACAACAAATAGAACATAATTTAAAATTTCTTAAAATACATTATGATTATGCAAAGAAAGCCTATGCAGAAAATATTTCCAAACATTAATAGAAATAAAAAAATATTTACGTTTCGTGTCTACATACTCCATTCCTTTGGCTACAATAGACTAAAGCCCTCATCTACATTTCTGCAGTATTTATTTGCGTAACGCATTTTTAATCATTTTAAGAAATTGTAAATTAACTCTTCTTTGACTTTCATTGACATAGAAGCTCTTTTTTTAAGTTTTTAAAATATTTTTTTATTTTAACATAGTCTGTTTTTCCCCCCATTTTTTTGCATGATGTACAGCATTAATAAGTAATAAGTGTATAATAATATTAATAATAAGTACAGTTCCATACTGAAAAATTGTTTTGACACCAAAATCAAATTACTAGAAAAATAGACTACACACACACATTAAAATTTTACATTCAGTGGATGATGAAAAATCAAAAGTAAAGAGTGTTAAATGCTGGCATATTGTAGCCTTCCAAATTACGATGAACAGAAAATGGCACCTGGCCAACAAACAAAAATGGCAGTGTGTGTAGCTGTAATCGCCAAAGAGGTAAAACATGATATTGTTGTTCTAATTTAATGACACCACCTGACAGTCTTCTAATAATATATAAATGGGAACATAAAGATAGCGCATACCACCCCATAACTAGATCTAATAAGTTGGGTAGTTAAGCTTAAATATTAATGTCAACAAATGAAAATGAACTTTCAAAAATGTAATAGTAATAGTTACTGATTCAATATTCAAATTCAATGCATCAATAATCAATGCAATTCAATGACATTTTTTGGTCACTATTACGACTATACTATACAGTGTATAGTATACAGTTACACTATACATAACATAGGTACCAGAGGCTATTTTATTATACTAAATCATATATTAAATTAAAGTATAAGTATAAGTATTGAGTCGAGTAAGAGTAAGAGTGATATTTCGTCTTGTCTTAGCATCAATAAAATATAGTACTAGTACATTAGTACATAATAGTAATAATAATAATACGTGTCCATATTTTTATTTTTTTTGGGGGGGGGGGGTCTGGACAGAAAATAGGAAGCACATAAATATTTATTAAAAGAAACGACAGGAAATACCAGAAAAAAGGGTATTGTAATTCGAAGTGTCTACACGTCCGGCGCGCAAGATATACGTCCGGCGGCTTGTCTCGTGACCGCCGGACATGGCCGGACGGCTAGTAGTTTTTATAATTCCAAACGAAGTACGATTTAGTACATCTTGTCTGGTCTTGTGGTAGAGTGGTTGCTTGACGATAGGAAGGTTTGAGGATCTATACCGGGGATAGGGTCTTTTTTTTCTTCCCATTTTAATTAAAATATTTTGTATATATTTATATTATCATGTTCCTCAACAACAGTAGTTTCATGAGAAGTTTTTAAATATTTTGTAGCAATTGAAATAATTTAAAATGAAATCTTTTACTTTAACTTTTATTGGTTGCCTACGCCTACTCCACACTGGCCCCTAATTTATTTTATGGATTACTGGTACACAAACTCAAATAACAAACTAAACAAAAATGTTTACAAGCCACTTTCACTTAAGTTTTTTTCTATTATTTGCATTCAAGATACTCAGTACATTACTTGGTAGAGAAATAGATTTTAAAATTAACAATAGTTTTGAATTATTCGCAGTCACGTGACAAGGCTGACCGACAAGATATCTCTCGCCACTTTGTTACGGCGGTCATGTGACTTGGTCGCCGGACACATAGTCCGGGAGATAGACGTCCGGCGCGCCGGACGTGTAGACACTGCCATTGTAATTTCGTTGTCAAAATGCTTCCCTCCACTTTTTAATTTACTGAGGGTATTGTTTCGCCATTTATAGTCGATAATATGCATAATAATAAATTCTACATCAGCCAAATACATAAAGCCGACATCTTGCTTGTTGTATAGAGAGTTTGTTTGATTTTTTTTTTCAAGGCTAAAGCTTTGAAAATTGAAGTTAAAAATAGGGAATCTTCACTCATCAATAACTTTTTATAAAAATGGTTTCTTTAAAATAAAAAGGGTTTATTTAAGTTATAGGGTCATTTATAACATATCCAAAATTCATGAGTGTAGACCATCGGCAGGCTTCAAAAACAAAAATCTAAGAGGTCATGTAAGTCATGTTTTTAAGCTATGTAATTTGTCATCATGACCACCATGCTTGTCTGCTTATTTGATAGCAGCCGTGGGGTAGTTAATAATTCATTAAATTTGTTTTACAGAATATAAATGGGAAATATAACTATTAATAAGTCATTTAGTTAAATAAAACAATGTTTTATAACATAAACAATTATTATTTGCTTATGAAATGTCAGTGTTTTTAAAATTAAGGGGTTGTTTGCCATGGACTTGGGATTGATAACCACTTGTATTTGATTTTGATTTATAATAGGCTTAGTTGAAATAATTATAATAATAGTAATGACTTGGTGAGTGGGATAAATAGCTTTTATTAAAAATAATACATTATATTAGTTTATATATTATATGAATATATATAGGCCTATATATTTAATATATATATATTTAATATATTTAATTTATATAGGCCTATAAGTATAAGCTTAGTATAATATATAGTATAGGCCTAACTCCAACCCAATTTATTATTTGTAGGGCTTATTGTAAAAAAAGTATATGTAATGAAATTTTACACTATATAATCATATTATTATTCTGAAGGCATAAAATAATTAAAACAAATATTCACTTACCTTTGGTATTGAAATATCATATATTTAATCACATATCACAAGCGAATTATTATATAAACCTAATTATTCACAAAGAAAAAACACACTTTCTGCCGCAATAATGAAGGATTTCTTAAGATATTATTAAAGAACAATCATACAAACTTATACTTACCTAAAGCAAAAGACTAGAAATTATTTTAATTTTTATCAACTGCAAAAGTTGATTCTTACAGTTCATGTGAAACAACATATGACTAACTTAAAATAAATGACATACTAATTTTTTGTCATATTCATCTAGGACTAAAATACATACTGGTATATAGAAAATGGTAAAATAAAAAGTGTAATAGTCAATTTTAACTAAATGAAACAAATAATCCCTTTATTATTTGTTTATACTTATAAATGTTAAACAATGCCACTGAAAATTTAAAATTAATATCTCAAGAATATTATTATTATTATAAGTTTTGGGAAATTAAAAAAAAAAAATTTTAAGCAAAATTAATTAATTAATAACAAATAAGTGACGAGTCAGCATATTTAAACATTTTTTAATAAGGAAAAAATAGTTTTTTTACCTAAATTTTTGCATCATATTAACAAAAGCTAACTTATATTTTTTGGCTTTATTTAGAACTACTCTTAGTTAACTATGTTCCCTGTATTATATCTTTGTTTCATTTTATAATAAAGTTATAGGAGTTTAATGAAAGGCAAAATGAGGGTCACAAATGTGGAGGAAAATCCCATAGTGAAAAAGTGGTTTTGAGGTCCCTACTAAAAAATTCATAACTTTTTAACCACTTGAGCCAGAAAGTTGATCTTGGCGTTTTTGTAATCTATTCTCCAGGCTCTATACAGCTGTAGTATTGTTGTATTTTTAAAAATGTTTTGAAATTTTCATCAAAGTACCTAATATAGGGTTCAGGTTAGGTTTTAGTGACAGTGAATTATAAAAGTTCACGGGTTGTGGCAACCAAGAAGGCGGCCATGTGATACGTCATGGCCAATGTTCCCTTTAAGCTGCGCGGCCGCGCAGCTATCTCACAGACGCCGCGCAGCAAATTTCCATGTAAGTGTGTGTTTGTGGGCTGAAAAATTTTGCACACAAAAAAATTAATGCTGTAAAACTTTGCACACAACTGTACGATTTTGCACACAAACTAAAAAACCTTAGAGGGAACATTGGTCATGGCACCAATTGTCTTCATTTACCAAAATAGATTATTTATATCTCTAACTAATTCTAATGCTGCAAACATATCAGTGGGAAACCTTCAGTTGGTGGGCAGAAAAAACGCATCAACATTTCAAGGCAAGGGCTGTCTAAATTCTTCACTTAAACCTTGAAGATTGACCTTGATTCCTTGGAGATACTTGCCATGGGCCGTGCAAGCTGGCATAGAGGGCAGACTTACTGTCTGAGTGAGCAAAATACTCAGAGAATAAGCACACTGCTCACACACAAAGAAAGTGCATGTGAAGAAAAAGCAAAATTGACTCAACCTTTTAGGACCTAAAATAATGTGTACCCACAGTGGGTTGATAATTGAAGGACTGCATTCAAGCTATCTGAATGAAATAGTAAAGCTTTCCATTGGTTCTAAAATTTTCGATTCCCTGCGCCCTTGCCAAATTTACCTTTTCACCAGGTGCACTTAATTAAATTCTGACAAGTACAATTTGGAATAGTTGTTACGCACTGGCTTCTCTTGTGAGAAATTAATCTCTTATTTTTAATTTTATTGGCTCGTTGTAAACAGTGCCTAACAAAGGACGATACCATAGAGTCAACAATATTAAAGATACAACACCCAAAACAGTTGCCAGTTCCAATTAATATAATTTAATTTAGTAATAATACAATAACAAAACAAAAGAAATATAATTATAAATCATCAACTTACAGTATGGTAGATCTTGTACCGGTACACAGTTAATACAATGTGCAAATGAATAATGATGAATGCGAAATAAACACATAAGAGCACACAAATACACAAAGAATAATACATGCCTCGTAAACTTAATAATATCTATCTGAATCTCCTTCTCTCCGTATCTGTCAATCCCTTATACAGGTGGGTCTACCGACGCGTAAGCCCTGCCTTCCAGAAGCTACTCAGCCTTTGTTTACATTTCTAGAACAATCGCAAACATTCTACAAAATACTAGGAGACAGTCTAACACGGTTTAATTGGAAAGGCTGTAGTCAACAAGATACATCAAACAAAGAGGCCACGCCCACAATAAACGCTAACGTCTGCTAGGGATCTAATGTGGGGTGAAACAAAGTTCAAGCATGGGAAAAAAAAATTGCACTGCATAACATAGTGAATAAAGAAACCAAATAAAATAAAGGGTTGGGTATCATTAAAACATGTATGTAGATCACTAAACGTCATCAGCAGTTACTCAAGTGTTTGCACCAAGACCGCTAGCTGTCATATTGGAATAAAAGTGGAAATAAAATTATGAAAAAGATGTAATATTTCACGTCGCCCTTGTGAGGAAGCCGAAGTAATCTAGGACAGGACCATGCAGAGGACATGCGGCACATTGGGTAAAGACAATCTAAAGACGATCTTGGTACCTATGATGTTGACGCCCAGTGTGACTGCCCTCTTTGCCCCATTCTCATGGCACTGTTCGAGGGCAACGTGGCACACAGGGTGACACAGTGTATATTATGGGAACTTCAGGACTGGCCTAACAATAGTCTATAAATTATTTGATTCCGTTTTTTTATATTTTTTAAAGGGCGTGGTTTGAAAGCTTTGTATGCATACGCACGGAAAGGGGGGTGGGGGTCCAAAAAGTATGCATTAAACGGGCGGTGAGGGGAAAAATTTCTCTTATTTTGCGTACATACTAAATTGGATGGCCCCTTATTTATTATAAGATAAGATTCTTTGTTGATCCAAATAAAAAAAGAAACGTTTTTGATTGCATTGTACATCTTCATTTTCAGCACAAGAATAAATACATATTTTTAACTAAGAAAACATTTTACAAGTATAACTATTTCATTTATAATTAATATTGGCATGGTCATAATTCATGATAATTTAAAGATGATTGTTTTTTTTTATAAGTATGGTTCATGACTGTCGACTGAATGAAAGACAGGGAGTAGGTTTTCTCATATCCTGGGTTTTCGCTAATGCCAGGAAAATGGGAATAGTTTTTCCTCAAATTACAGGATAAAATTAATTTAATAAAACTTAGTTAAACTTTAAAAGGCTTATTGATTTTTATAATTGTTTAAATGTTATTTTCTAATGAATAAACAGCATTGCTAGAGGTTAGCTGAGAGGTTGGTCACTATTTGCTTTATTTTCCATGGCTTTTCCTAGCAATGGATAACTAGCCAATAATATGCTTGTTAAGCAAAAGTTAAACCTGTATATTCTTTACAGTACCTGCTGCTAATTCTAATTTTGAATCCCTTAATAAATATTTACAAGCAAATGTTTCTAACAACTCGTAACAAGGGAAAGTGGTTCATTTAGAATTTAAAAAAAAAATAGGAATGATAATAAATGTATCCTTTTATATGTATCTTATTATGTTGATTTTGGAAGAAAAAAAATAAATAAAAAGTATTAAAAAGGTAGTTTTGACACATGAAGTCTTGGAATAATCAGGTAAATAGAGGTGACACTAAATGGATTGCGAAGGGATTTCAGTTGGATTGTGGACTGAAACAACAGACTCAGAGAAGTAGGGATTTTTAAATAGTTTTCTTTTGTTACTTTGTATCTTAAAATTTGAGTTTGCCTTAAATCATGGGATATGTCGCCAATAACATTATAATTTCCCTGGAAGTCTTTGGTTTACTAAAAATGGTGCTGGGTCCAGGGAGAGAAACCCAAGAAACAATAGTATGTTCAGAAACTTGATTATAAGTGTTTTGTTTTAGTTAATTAAATCACATGAATCTATAATAATCTGTTTTGTGTTTCAGAATTACCCTTTATTTATAAAAACAGTGACTACTGACAATGAACTCAAGTTTTACTACACTGTGCATACTTCTTTAGATGTTGTTGAGGAAAAAATTAGCTCTGTTGGTAAGAATGCCAATGACTTGAGAGAATTATACCTTGGTCTTTTATACCCAACTGAAGACTATAAAGTGTATCCTTTGAATCAAATTAAATGCCCCCAAAAAGTATGTTTTATTACATTGTGCATACTTCTTTAGATGTTGTTGAGGAAAAAATCAGCTCTGTTGGTAAGAATGCCAATGACTTTAGAGAATTATACCTTGGTCTTTTATACCGGTACCCAACTGAAGACTATAAAGTGTATCCTTTGAATCAAATTAAATGCCCCCCAAAAGTATGTTATGTTATTAAATATCAATTCTTGAAATATGTTGCACCAGCAAACAAATTCTCACAACTACCGGTATTATAAAGTTTAAAAAAATGGTAATACTGGTAACTGAATAGAAGTACTGAGAAGTTTCTAAATTTGGCAAACAGAACAATTTGTAACAATTAGCAACTATATTTTTTTGTCCCTAAAAACTAAATCTATATATGGCAGACCTTAAAAATTGTGGTTTAGAGAAAATTTCAAGTTCATTGCATTTATGAATTATTTGAATCCTAAAATACTGATATGTTGATATATATATATATATATTATATATATATATATATATATTTCAACGTATCAGTAGGCTGGGGTACCACGCTATAAAAGAATATGCCATGGTCTATTAAGGAGTGTTACATGTGTCATGGACTTGACGATGTTTGTGTCATGCACTTGGCAATGTTTTGAAATGTTTTTTCTTAACTGTACAAAGGTATGGCTATGTCACCAATACTAAAGTTAAGTTTGTCATTGTTGTCGACTCTTTGAATGCATCACTAAGGGATAATGAAATAAGAACGGTGAGTAATGCAATGCTTTCAATCAACTTAAAATATCAGTTGAAATTACCGGTAAAATGAAAATAATTTTAATAATTTTGCAACAGTGCTTGCATAAAATAAACGGAAACATGTTTTTGTTAAAATACTGGCTGTGCAGTAGTTGAGATTTCTTAACATACCCGGTACCGGTACAGCAAAGTCATAAACATGAAGTTCTTATCTGCAAACTGCCCTCTGTCAGTTTCTAATAGGGGGATCTGAAATAGAATTTCAGTAATAAATTTTAAATACATTTTATAAATACCGGGTACTCCCAAAATTCAGTTTCATACTGTGTTAAAGCACAACAGATTTTCGATTATCTTGACTAATTTTGTTTTTAAGCCTAGTCAGTATAATAAAAACCTTAACTATCAATTTACAATACCGGTACCGGTATGATAGAGAAGGGCCCTAAAACTGTTTAAACAGGGTGCCCATTCACTGTCCTTCAGACACTGCTGGGGGCTGGACTATTTAAAATAATTGAACAAATTCCTATGCACACTGCACATACCGGTACCGGTATCTTAGTTGTAGTGTCAGGTGCAAAAACAAATGGAAATAACAATATATTTAAAATAAAGAACAATTTAAATCAACATAAATTTATTAGAATTTCATTGGGTAGTATAAGCCTGCTTTTACTTTAATGTACCGGTACTGACATGGTCAATGTCAGGATCCAGATTTGTTTGTAACTGATAGTCATAACAAGTGATGCAAGTGTGCACCTGTATCTGTTTGGAGATTTCATATATTTTATTCTGGGAAGAGTCTGTTCACAGACATACTTGCTATTTTGAGTGCATGAGCCATGAGATTAAAATATGTCTCAGAGGGGAGAGTTACATAGGCTGTTTGACTTGAATATTCTTTCAGAGAAACCATTCTTTATTTCTTCTTCTTCTATATCTTAAGGGCCCACGATCAATTTATTGATCATTTTGGCTCCTATGCATGTAGATGGGATTTGCAATGTTTCTGTTACTGGTGTTGATGAGGAAATCATGCACTAGGGGTTTGAAGGCTTGAGGCAATAGACACAAATGTGTCTAGTGTTGTCGCCTCAACCATTCCTTTTGAAAGATTGTTCCAGTCCCTGATTGTCTTGGGCAGGAATGAGCAGCTCCTATACTGGCTTCTTGCAGGTATGAGCCTGAATTGCCTGTCATGGCCTCGTCGCTGTCTATGGGGGAGAGGGACGAGTTTCTGTTTAATACTGGAACAGTGGACCAGCCCATTATTTATCTTGTACATCATGGAGAGCCTGGATTGTCGTCGTCGTTTCTCCAATGGTGACCAGCCTAGTGTTTCTAGCATGCTGCCAACACTAGAGGTATTCCTGTAGCGGTTTAGGACAAAGCGTGCTGCTCGTCGCTGGACCGCCTCCAACCTGTCAATGCTCTTCTGGGTAAATGGGTCCCAGACTGAAGATGCATAATCTAAAATCGGACGGATAAAGGCTTTATATGCTCTTTCTTTCACACAGGAGTTGCCAATCTTTAGATTTCGCCTTAAGAACCCTAGGGTCTTGTTTGCTTGGTTACATACATTGTTAATATGCTCGTCCCAGCGGACCTCTCTTTGAATGGTAACACCCAGGTACTTTACGGAGGAAACTTGCTCAAGTATATGGCCGTGCAGTTCGTATTGGTAGTGTAGAGGAGTACAACTTCTAGAGATTGATAGTGTCTGGCACTTGGCAGGGTGAAATTCCATGTCCCAGCTCATCTCCCACTCAGCTAACAGATTAAGATCCTGTTGTAGCTGGTCCTGGTCAGATCTGTTGGCGATCGTCCTATACACTGCTGTGTCATCTGCGAACAGTCTTGCCTGTGATGTCAGTTTATCGGGTAGGTCATTAATGTATGCCAGGAACAAACAGGGGCCCAGGACTGATCCCTGGGGGACCCCTGACTTCACATCGACAAAGGAGGAGCTTGTACCGCCCACCACTACTGCTTGGCGTCGGTGGCTGAGGAAGCTAGAGATCCATGTTTTAGTGGTGCCTTGAATCCCATATCTCTGGAGTTTGTGTAGAAGCAAACTATGATTCACACGGTCAAATGCTTTTGCGAAGTCCATTACTAGCACGTCAGTCTGCTTGTGGTTCTCCAGATTGGTCATCAGGTCTTCTACAAATTCGAGAAGCTGGGTCTCACATGATCTATTGACTCGGAAGCCATGTTGACAGTTGACTGTTGACATATTTTGGCTTTCAAGATGCTTCATGACTGTGCTTACGATTATGTGCTCCAACTCCAACAGTTTGCAGACCACGCTGGTGAGGGATATTTCTTACAGTTCCATTTGGTAAATTTGTTAACAAATTTCAAAGTGGATAGAAAATGGGTTACGGAAAAGCCTTATCTGCAAAATTTACAGTAAATTCACACCTTTTGTTTGGGAATGCAACTTCTGTTTTTTCTGCAAATAGATTTTAAGTTGTGGGGAAATTGTAGAAGTTTTGCTCCTTCCCTTTTTAAACGAGGTCTTATGTTACTCGACATGCTTTCACATGTGAATGCATTTCACAGATTAGCTTCCCTTTTCCTTCATTTCGCACAACGAAACTGTTGAGTAGCTCTGTTATATCTGTCAGAAAGGCAAGATGCCATTTTACCATCCTGATCCTCACTCTGCAAAGTGCAGATGTGATGTCTTATTAACTCGCCATGTATTGCCAACTGTTCAGCATTTTCTTAGGTACCGGTAGTCGTTTACAACTTTACTACAGTATTCTGGGACTTGTATGCAGCCACATGGGCAATGTTAAGGACCCCTGATGGGCTGAATCTGGCCTGCAGATTTGAGGACCCCTTTGATAGAGAATATCGATTTCATATAAATTATCATGTTATATCTGTTTAATTATTAATATTGAAATTTTAGATACCTTACCCAACATTTAGAATTTTTTTTTTTTTCAAAGTGTTTATTTTTTTATCCTACTCAAAATGCAGTTTTATGACTCCTATCCTTGCTGATTTGCTAGGTTCAAAAATAACATTCTGAATAATTCCTTCTCTTCTTGTCTAACTCTAAATGTAACTCAAAAATGTTCTTGCTATGGTACCTGTACTTACAAAGTGGTTTTAAATTTAACCAACTTACTAACTGGTAATTTTTTCCCCCATTTAGTTTCTCTTATATTTATTCCTCATTTTCCCCAGATGTTTAAGAAATTACACAATGCTTATGTGGATATGCTTTGCAACCCATTTTACAAACCAGGAGAAAATATCACATCAAAGTAAGAATACTGTACTTATTTTTATCTTCAGTTCAAGCTCAGTACTTGTACTACCAGTAGTTAATTTGATCTTCTCACACTGTGTACTACAGGGTGTAGTGCATTGAACACATTGAATTTCACATACTTATTATTATAAGTATATTTAGTAATTTAGCATTCAAAAGTTGAATCCAAAATTCTGCACTGCACCCATCCCAAACGTACAAGGGGAAGAGAGTCAATCTTTTTTTTGTGTGTCTCTGCATGAAATAGATTGAATAATTAAACTTAAGATGGTGACAACCTGTCAGATCATTTGTAATTAGTAGATCATTAGTAGATGTAATTAAAATCAAATGTTTCAGGTTGATGGACCATTTTTCAGACATTAGGAAATAACGACATTACTTTAAGAATGTTTCAAGTTTTGTGAAACTTTTAGTAGTGTTGAAAGAGGAATTGCCCTTAAAATTTGGTTTGTGCTATACATTTTTAAGTGATTTAAATGCATGAGAACTAATTAAATTGTAAAATATTTGTTCACTGTACTTTTACAGAAATTTTGAAAATGTAGTCATCGCCATGTTGCAGCAAGACTAAAATTGGTTCAACTGGATGTGTGATGCTACAAACAGGACAAGTTACAGCATTTTCATTCCAGTGATTATACTTCATAAGCTTAGTATTATAAACAAGGAAAGGCATGTTTTATTATATTCAAAATTCTGGTTTAAAAAACGTCATCCATATTCAATGCTGCAATGGTTTTAACAAGGAAATAAATATATAATGTATGGTAACGAATTTATTATGGGGCCATCCATAAATGATGTCATGCATCTAGGAGGGAGTACTGTTACGAATTATTGAGATAACATGGAGAGCATCTAAATTTGTGACATTAAAAAAATCACCCCAAAAAATATAAACATGTTATTTATGGAAGGACCATTTCCCATTTTGATTTCCAATGCCCATTGAAATAAATATGTATCAAATCTGGGATAGATTTGACTTAACTGAAAATGCTTCTCTAAATGGATATTTCTTAAATAAATTAGAAGTTAAAATTGATTTTTAATTTTAAGAGAAAGGATACAAATTTTAAGTGAATAATTTTACTTGGATGAGTAAATTATCTAGATTTGAAAGTATGTGCAATATAATTTTTAATAAACTGTATTGTTTTATTTCTTGTATCTGTCATTACCAAAAAATGCAATTTTGTTTGTGTAAAAATATCTGTTTATTTCAGATATAAATTAATACATGCTGGTAAATAAACTTATATATCAATGATATTTTTACATTTGATCTTGGCTTTGCATTCAACTGGCCAAAAATGAGTATGACTAGAATTACTACACTTAGTTTAAGGACTCCAGTAATTACAAACTAGTTGTGTACAAAAGGTATTTGAACACTTGCTACCACTCAAATATGGAAATAACTTTGAACTAAAGACACAACCAAGTTAAGGAAACATTATAATACAGAAACATTCTATGTTAAAATAATTTTTGTTTGTTTTTTACAGTAAAGATTAATAAGTTATTTCAAGGACTAAAACTTTATCAGGACAAATTTAAAAAAAAGTAGATTGGTGCCAATACTTAAATTGGAGCTTATTGGCAGTGATAGCAGAGGTAGATCTGTATGGCAGTACCATATATCAAGCAACCTAATTCCCTAGACAACAAAATACACCAACAAAATTTAAAAAAAAATAAAGAAAAAGTTAAAAATTAATTTTTATTTAGATTTTGTTACCACTTTTCACAAAATAACTTTCATTCTTCAGAACAGATTGGAATGAACAATAAAAAAAACCAGTTATCAGTAACTTATTTTCAACATAAACTTCATTTGGCCAGCCAGTGTAAAAAACTTAATTATTTGCATGGTAAATTAGAACTTTGTTCATCCCATTTTTTGTAATTTTTTAAGATAGGCAGCTTTACTTTTGTAAATGGTATGATGTATTAACAATTTCATGTCTTAGTTAACACAAATTTAAAAAAACTTGTTCCCAACCACCATTAAACATGAAAACATACAAGTGTCAGCAAAACCACTCCTCAAAAGTGGAATAGAACATGCACACTCGAAATATAAGAACAATCACTTCTGTGAAAAAGAAATATTGTACTCTGTGAAAGGAGCCACGACAGGTTTTGAAAACCGAAACCCTGCCCCTTGAGCATTTCTTGGTCAACTCATAAAATGGCATTTGCTCCCACTCTTGTGAACATGGCTAACCACTATTAAATGATCAACTAATGCAACATGAATTGGAAAAAAAAACAATTTTTATTTTGTTAAACATGATTTTTCTTTTGACAATGAAGTATGCTTGACAAAAAAATGACACAAAATATCCTAATTTAAAATTGTTATCTACTCTTCCCCCGAACCTGTAGATCTCAGGTTGCGCCTCTGCCTCGGTGATTGCTTTGGGGATCTCCTTGGTGACTTGTCTGAAGATTAAGAATGAAATTATAATCTCTCATGGATTTATAGAAATTGTTTTAATTCATTCTAATATTTCTAATGAAACTAACAACTCACTTCAACTTCAACCCATTTAATCTCAAATTTTCAAACATTGGTGAAAATAAGTATTTTACATATAGTTTAGCACTTATTCAATCAAGAATGCAGGATAATAATCATTCACTGTATCGATTCCACAAGGAAAAAAATTAAATGCATACGAAAATGAGTTTCAATTATTCAATAATCTATTTATGATTAAAATTCAAAGATCAGAAACAGCCCAGAAAAGGGGAGCTACAAATTAATATACCTGTATACAAATATTAACTTGAGCTACCATTTAAAGCTCCCTGCTTTGATCATGTCGCTGAGGTCATTTTTTAAAATGGGGAAACAAGGGACCAAATATGATAAGCATAATTAAATATTATTACAAATTAATATCCAAGTAGACTAAAAAAATTTTTTTTCCCCCTGGCATCCCTCAGTCACAATGTGATGATGGAGTGGGCTTCAGAGGATGAAATCCACATGGCCTGGGATTATTCTTCGAGGATTATAAGCTGGTTCCCAACAGCAAATCGCCTCTCTCCACGCCGCTGGATAACCCAAGGGAACATCATTAGATGATACAGCTTGGCACCAGTGACGTCGCAGGAGTTGTCGGAATGTTTCATTGTATCAATGTTATCCGCCTTTCGGGACTTTATCTCCAGGTTTTGATTTCAGAGTTTCCTTCTCTTAGATGAGATGCCTTCCAAGTTTAATGAGTCCCATCTACCAGGGGTGCTGTTTTTTTGCTGGAATTGATCTCCAGACAACCAAGTAGACTAATAGTTTTGCAAATATCTATATTAACAATTAATCCCTTTATATTAAGAAGATGTAAGTACCGGTGTATGAAGAAATAAAAACCAAAAGTAGCAAAACTTACTTAGTCCTTGGAGTGTTTCTTTTGGGAGCCAGTCATAATCCACATCAGAATTTTGTGTCCCCAACTCTACTGTTTGGCGGGGTTTGGAAAGACGTTTTCTCTGGATAAAAAGAATACACAAACAATGTAAAGTTGAAGAGATATTTAAAAAAAAAAAATTGCATTTTATTATTTTCAAATTCAGCTTAGTACATATCCATAACAGATTCTGCTCTTGTGTTTAATTACTTATTTCAAAGTTATATTATTTCTAGATAGACTACAGCAGATCAGTTTACAGCCTGTCCAAGGCATACTACACACAGTCTAAAATATATCTAAACCATGCTCTAGTGCCTTTATTTTAATGTAGCAAGCCCTCAGGAAGGCTAACACATAAGATATTTGCCTGCTGTTTCCTTGCATGAAATACAAAAGCAAACAAAATATATACCAATAATACTTAGTTGAAAGTCAAGACAAACAAATAGGAAATCATAAATAGGGTAGAAGTAATCCTAGAACTAGAGCATATCCCGTAGACACTGTTGGATTAGGATTCTCCATGGTGGAGCTTGTAGAACAGCAGTACTTACACCAAAGTTGGCTACAAGTTGTTGAGCCCCCACAAGCAATAAAATGACAATGGCAGCCAAAAACACATATAAGAAAAATCTGAGGGGAAAAGGAAATAATTTTACAAATAAAAAAATTATTAAAAATCAAATTCAGCATAAAATAATCAAACATGTCAAAAGATCTTATCCCATGTCATGATGCATGAACATCCACAGGTCAAACAACCTTTTTAATTTATATTGCAAGGACAAGGAGATTGCATATATACAATCTTGGAAATGAAAAATAATGTATATATCACCTTACTAATTATAAATCACATGCTACTGTCCATTAACTATAACTTACTTCTACAGGACTAAATAAGAATTATAATGCAAGCCAGTTTATATTATTAAATGAACAACTAATCCATAACATTTATTCTACTCAAATAATTTTGGTTTTCGGGAATTTCTCCCTAATTAGATACCTTTACAATCTGGCTGGTTGTTCAATGAAGAACATAGTGATAATAACATGTTATATATTATTGGATTCAGAATTGAATGATCTATTAATTGATACAAATTATAAGATCACAGTTAATTAAGGCCAAAAGATTAGGTTTTGAGGTGTGCTAAATTTTCACAAAAAATGTAAACATACCCAGTACCTCAAACAGGTAGAAGCCAAAAAAATAAGTATCGAGTACTAAATTAAAATGTTTATTACATCCATCAATGGTATCCATTTGTACAACACATCAAAATTTCAAGCAATTTTTACCAATCTTTGTATTAACTATGTCACTGTTAAAAATAAAGAAAGCAAGGCAAGTATTTCATGACAGAAATACTATTTTATTATCAAATGATATAAGTGGAAATAAATAATTTTAACATACTAAAAAAAAAATTTACCACATTGGGTACAAATAAACAAATATCACTTTGAAATATGACCATTCCTGTTTTCCAGAAAACTCATATATTTAAGAAAGGCAGCACATTAAGACCTGAATTTTCTCTCTATTTTATAAACTAAATAAAGATTTTCACATTACATCTTAACTGTAAGTAACCATTGCACATTTTAACAGCATGGTGAGTAATAATCATTCATATAGCTGCAAAAAAAAAAAAACCATGAACATTGTCAACAAAGTTTGTCACTGTCAAACTACTGAGAAACTAAAAAAAAAAAGAATAAAGCTATCAGATCTTTTTAATTATTTAAGACATGCATTTTACTAAAGTAACCAATGCACATTTTAACAGCAAGGTGAGTAATAATCATTCAAATAGCTGAAAAAAAAAAAAAAACCATGAACATTGTCAACAAAGTTTGTCACTGTCAAACTACTGAGAAACTAAAAAAAAAAAGAATAAAGCTATCAGATCTTTTTAATTATTTAAGACATGCATTTTACTTTATTCTGATTAAAACAAATATGACTATAGGCATTAACATATTGTTCTCCACAGCCATATTATTTTAATTTATTCCAAAGCTGATATCTTTTATCAACTAATTTTATCACAGTCCAATCAATTAGCTACAGTAGTTGCATTTAGCTTTACCTACAATAGCAACAGAACCATTTATACTTTTGGAATCTGCAAGAACCACTAATTCATTTAGTTATGTTGTTCCATACCATATTTTGTTACATTTATGAAATGCATGTGTCCTATCCTCTCCTGCTTCTCTTGATTATTTATTATGGTTGTTCCAGGACCATCTTTGCATGCATGTCCTTTTCATCAGGTGCAGATGAAATTAACTGCTAAGCAGTTAACTCTTTTTGTAATACTTTTATAAAATTACGGAGTATAGGCCAGTATTTTGGCCTAAAAACAATTTGTGAATTACCTAATCCAGTGAATAAATTCCTTTTAATCCAGTAACAGTTCACAAAAGTGGAGCTTGTATGTTTTGAATCCAATGAATGTTAGAAATTTTGTTGATCAACTGGAATGTTCAGTTTTAAAATCAAGTTGGCTTAGTTGCCATAACATTGCAATTGTTGTGTACATTTACAAAGCATCTCCAGCCTTGAATGAAATCCTTATCTTGTCTTGTTTCAGTTGATATCTCAGGTCGCATGCCACGAATAACATTGTTATGATGATTGGGTTGCCCTAATGTCCTAGTCACCACTCTGATACTGTGAAATGATAATATAAGGATTACATATAGGCTTAGATCTTGTAATTAAAAAAAATTATTTACAAAACAAAATGCATTATTCAACATAAAATAATAAAAATTCAAAATTAAAAGCAGTTTTTAATCCAGAATAATTTATAGACCGAAAATTCACTGCCTTTTCTTAACGTATCCAATGCAAACAAAGGAAATTTGAAACAAATATGCCTATGAAAAAAAAAAAAAAAAAAAAAAAAAAAGCACTTAATAAACTGGAAAAAAAAAAAAAAAAAAAAAAACAAAAATATTTATTTTTAATATTTAAAAAAATAAAAATTCAAAAATAAAAGCAGTTTTTAATCCAAAATAATTTAAAGACCGAAAATTCACTGCCTTTTCTTAACGTAACCAAAGAAAAAAAAGAAAATTTAAAAAAAATATGCCAATGAAAAAAAAAAAAAAAAGAGATAAAATATGCACTTGATAAACTGGAATAAGAAATTGAAATAAGTAAGCTTAAATATTTATTTTCAATATTTAAGAAGCCCACTGTTACAGTTTATCAATGTAAATTTAGATTTTTCCCCACAAAATCCATAAAATTTGACCCGCCATAACAAAGAAAAAAAAATCTTACCACTGAAAGCGAACTTTCGATCAGGCAAAAATATACAAAATCATCAGCAGTCATGTTTTTCTTCTTGTCTTTATCTGGGTAGTTTTTGACTTGAAATATAATCAACATCATTGGAAGAGAAATGTTGAGCAGCTTTTGTGTCATTTAGAGCTACCAGCCTTCCGTGACATTTCACAGGATTGTCAAAATGGCGGATGAAAATCCCGTCATGAACATAACCAAAATGATGCACAGACTATTTTATTAAAATTAAAAATATAAATTTACACTTAAAATTAATATTTTAAACAAATATATCCACGAAATTATAGCTGCAAGTTAAAAATAACTTTGGTTTGTAAAAAGGTTAGAAAAAAAATCAAGTTATAATCCACAGATCAACCTTTAAACCAGGGGTCTCAAACTCAAATCATCCAGGGGCCACAGGAGGTAGAGTCTGAGTGAGACTGGGCAGCATCAAGTATTCCACAAAAAAGCGATTACAAATTCAATAAAGTACAACTGTTACAATCTGCTCAACCTTTATTAATAACAAATAAAGATTTTAAGGGTTCTCAAGAACTAAGCTTCACTTTATTCTTCCTACTCATTGTTGCCAGAGATCTGGCAGTGCTTCTTCTTACACAGCTGAGCCACATTTGGCTTAAGTGAGGAAGCAACTGAGACCCTAAGTATAGCTTGAAGATGCTCATCAGTAAGTTTGGCCCCGAACTTAGACTTGTTTAAGTTGATAGAGGAAAAGAGCTTTTCACAGATAGGTACTCTTGAAAAAAAGGCACATGATCCGCTTGAATAATCTGGAAATCTCAGAGAAGGTGGAGGGCAAGGCGCTCATAAATTGTCCATGCTTGCCTGTTTTTTCATTCACCTCCCTGAACTTAGAATTGCACTGAAGATCAATTAGCTCCTTTTGAAGCGCGAGTGGTGGTGGCGTGTGCGCGCGCGCGCATCTTCCAAATTGAGGGAGAAAAGGTCAGCAAATAGTTGACAAGTCCTCTGTCTGTTTTAAAGTCTGAAAACGTGATCAAATTCTTCCTGTAGCTTTGCAATGGCATCAGTATACTCACTACTGAAGGGTGTGCCCGAGTTCATGAGTACTTTGTATATTGAGGAAATGGCAGGTTTCTTTAAGAATCATAAGATAAGTTTTGTGCAGAATGCCCAGACATTTTCATTGGCAACACTGACAAGCTACCCCTGGTCTTGTAACTTCTTGTTGAGTACATTCAGCTTTTGGGTAATGTCAACAAGAAAAGCAAAGTCCATGAGCCATTTGAGGTCACTTAGTACAGGAACAACCCCCCCACCCTTCTCCATGAAGGCTTTGAAAGCTAAAATGTGTTGTTCAAATAGTAGTCGGGGGAAGGCAATATTTATAAATTATTCATGTGATGGACGATGCTATTTTAGGAAGAATCAATTTTGTTTTTTTTATAGAAGAAAAGGCCTTTTTGACTAACCCTATTTTTAAAGGGACCAAGCTGACGGGCTCAGAATTTCCTCACTTGTAAACATTAGCAGCAATTTTAATAGGGATTCTTTGATACTGTGTCACTCAGGTTGCTATGATTTACACAATTATGGTTGTGCATTACTCACAAACTGACTTTTTAATCTTTCCTCAAATCCGCACTTTGCCCATGTTTATCTCATAAAATACTATACATTAAAAATTTTTTAGTCCGATTTTAAAAGAGTTCTTACCATTATAATCATCATACAAATATATACAAACTTGATAAAATTCAGAATTAGTCTAGTTGGTGAGATTCGACTAAAACCGCTGCGGAGGGTCACATTATAGATATGAGAATGGGGAAAACACGCGGGCCGCATTAACACTAAACTTTGCATTCATGTAGTGGGCCGCAAAATATTGTCCTGCGGTCCGCAAATGGCCCGAGAGTTTGAGACCCCTGCTTTAAAAAAATATATCCACGAAATTATTGCTGCAAGTTAAAAATAACTTTGGTTTGTAAAAAAGGTTAGAAAAAAATTTAGTTATAATCCACAGATCAACCTTGATTGGAAGTACAACGTACTTTGAGAAAGAAAAAAGGTACATATTTAAACACTCTTTGAGCTATTCTATGATGAATCATTTTCTAGTTTGATTTTAACATCATACAACGTGTACATTTTTCCTAATCCATTGGACCACCTTCTATATTAGGTAAAACAACTTACGTTTCACCATCAAGACCCTCATCTGGATCAACCACCTGAATTGTCTCATTGAAAACAGCAGACTGGAAAACATTTCCTGACTGAAATTTGACATATGAAAAAGTTTGCACATTAGAAAACAAATCATATAGTATAACTATTAAAATAAGAGATTATGTCTAAATTCTGTCCTTCATACTGATATTAAAAAGTTAGGTACAGAAAAATTAATCCCAATTAATTTGGATAATGGATGCTCTACTGTACAATAGAAAAATATTTAAAACAGATATACAACTTACAAGTTGGCTAAAATTTACCTGATCTTTATAGTTTAGTGTTACTGCAAGTCCAAAGGGCCGAGCACTGAATGCCTCATTGGGTACAAAACCATATTCAAAAGTAGCTTGCCTCTTTGGTTCAACCAAAGCATTAAATGTCATAGTTGTGAACTTTAAAGAGATATGAATTTTAACATTAATTAGCATAACAACTTCCCAAAATCAAGAGCGTTTTTAGAAACGAAAAAAATAAAAATAAATTTTATAAAGACAAGGTTCAAGATACAGTTAATTACTGCAGACTTGCCTTGCCTAAAACGTATTGATTTATGCATTGCTCGCGCATTAGTAGATGGGAAGATCACGTATTGTTGCCGCCATTATTTGGCAGTTTATTTCTAGTTGATAAATAATACTTAACTGTTAATGCAAAAATCACAATGTACATTCAGGTGACATTAGATAATGGGTAATTGCCCATTTAGCTTACATCTAAAAAATTATTTAAACAGTATTAATTTAGTATTACCTAGAGTATATTAATTAAGTTAAAAGTCAAACCAAGAAATCAAACATGTCAAAAGATTTTATCCCGTGAACATATGAACATCCACAGGTCAAACAACCTTTTCAATTTATATTGCAAGGAGAAGCAGATTGCATATACAATCATGTAAATGCAAAATATATAGCACCTTGCTATTGTTAAATGTAAATTTGTTGAAATTACTATTTTATCTTTTTATTGCTAGTAGTATAAATAATTAAAAAAAAGAATATGTCCACTCATGAAACAGTAGATTACGTCAGCTATATGTTCCCCAATGACATATTTCTAACCAAGTTACTTTTTGATGCAATGTAACCTATCTGCTTTTTTATGGTGGCCAGTCAAGGTTCAAATGTTTGACTTCAGAGCTGTTGTCCCCCTCCCCATTAATAAAGGGTTACTATTACTCCCTATAAGAGGGTCATCTATAAAATATGCCATGCATGTAATGGGGGAGGTGCCATGAATTTGTGATGAGGGGAAGATAAAATATCTGCCAGACGTCATTTATCTAAATAGTAGCTTTATAAGGGTGATTAATTATCTTATAAATTAATTCAATTTTGAGCATTTCTATATGAAAAAACAATAATTAATAAAGAATAGTTGAATGGCCAGTGAGCAGCCCTAATGCACGGTTATAACAATCCTGCATCTTTCTGGGAATAACTTTGAACAGATAGAATTGATTGATTTATTGCTTACATTCTGTAAAAAGAAGCTATAATCCTGTGGGTATCTGAAAGATGCTTCCATGCTGTCCACTATAAAGTCCAAACTGCCTTTATTGGTAAATCCAACCAGGATCCTCACTTGTTTGCCAGCAGGAAGTTCTGGTGATAAAGAAACATAAAAAGGATCATGTAAATCTATCAAGTTCTAATTAGTGTGTTTTTAGCCTTTTCATAAGACAATATTTTTACTCAAAAATTCTGCATGATAAATGAATTTTAACCACCAAACACCTCTCTCCTGCAACCCACACACCTCTAATTCTTGAAAATGTCCCACATGCTTAAAAATAATAATTTTTGACATTAAAGGTATAGTTGTTATTATTATTGAAACTTTACTACAAAAGTTTACATATTTTGAAATAAAAAGTATGAGCCCTGAAGGGAATAACTAGCTTGGTTGGAAAAACAGCAGGTGAAATATAAAATATGTATAATAGTTAAAACAGGTGGGCAAACTACGGCCCGCATGTGGCCCGGCAACTGATATTATGCGGCCCTCAAAGGCGTTTAGAAATTTAATAATTTACATTTTTTAAAAAGTTATTTTGTTGAATTTTACAGAATGTCATGTACCCTTATGATTGTTTTACCCTTATGATTGTTTTAACACTTTTGATCAAATTTCTTTCTAATTTTCAATTTTTAAAAAACATTCCTTCAATTTTGTCATGTAATACTAAAACGCAAACTTACCAATTTTACTACAGAGAAATGTTAATCGATATGTAAAAATTGGACATAATATACATGCAGCGGCCGAAATAGCTTTACATTTGTCAATGTGACCCTCCGCACAAAGTTTGCCCACCACTGCATTAAAACAATTTTAAAAAAACATAGAAAATTACCCAGAGGATTGTTAGGCTTAGTAAAAAGAATAAATGTATCTGCATCAGGGGACGGCTTCAGGGACACATTTTCTTCCTCAGTGGTTTCTTCTTCCTACAAAAATAAAAATATGTTATTCAATCAACAAATATAACAAGGTTAATTAAAAGAAAACATCATTGGCCGAATAATTATATTATTTGATGTAAAAAGAGACAGATATCAGCCTGAACATAAATAATAACCAGAGAGCCTAAACACTACGACACGCAGAGTACCAAAGTTAGGTCTCACAAGCTTTCAAGAAGCTCTGGGTTTTAACCCCTTAACAGAAAAAGGGGTTGCGAAAGCCACTAGTTGGAATGATAATAAGCTCCTGCATCTTTCTGGGAACAACTCTGAACAGATTGAAATGATTAATCTAACTGGGCGTAGAGTGTGTACAAGTGATTCTCCAGTAATGGCATTTCAAAATCAACAACGTACCACTTGAATAAAATCATTTATAATTTATAGTTAGACTGGCAGCAATGTTCGCTCTAAGGTTTGTTGGTTCGTTTTACAGCATCAATTTTTTTGTGTGCAAAATTTTACAATCCACAAATACACACACTTGGAAAAGTGCTGCGCGGATACTCAGAACTGCTGCGCGGCATCTGTGAGATAGCGCAGCTTAAAGGGAACATTGACTGGCAGTTGATTATTAATTGACACCCCCAAGTCAATAATGGCAATCATTTTAGAATTTTAAGAGCACATATTATGCAATTGTGTTAAGAACATCTTATGCAGTTAGACAAAGAAAATCATAACTTTTAACATCCTTTCAATATACTGTACCTTTTCTGTCTCAGTTAACGGAGTCTCTTCATCAACAGCATCATCATCTGTCCCTGTTTCTGTCTCAATTGTAGCCTCATCATCTTCCCCTTCCATAGCATCTTGGGCGAAAGCAAGATTGCCTCCTCTTTCTAAAATACATACAAATGTAGGTTTTCTTTAAAATAAAATCGACACATTTTCTTTCAATACTGTTGGACACAGACCCCATAATAAATGAGAAAAAAAGATCATAGGGAATTTATTATTTATCAGAAAAGCAAAACAACCTCATATAGTATGAGTAATGACATACGCAATTGAAATCTTAAATTATTATCATACATTCACTTATTTTTCGTTGACTTTTTTTCCAGCTCTTAGCTGGGCACTATTTGCGTCATCATCTAATTCTGATGATAGATTTTACTATGAAATTTTCCATTTGTTTTTAACACAGAAGTTGACTCAGGGAACTTCCTTGGCCTATGGATAGTGGTTGCAGAGGAAGCCATCGCCAGGCTTATCGCTAAGACATCTTAGCATTTTCTCTGTAAATGTCGATATGTTTTGGGGAGGGGAACCCCCTCTTCCACTTTCAAGGGAAACAAAAGTGTTGTTGGGAGAGAGAAACTTGTATCAAATAAGTACAGAACTCAAAATCATTGAAAATCCAAATATTTGTGTATAAGGAACTTTAGTTTAGCCTGAAGTATACCTGGGGAAACCTCCATGACCTAAATTTAAATACATGTACCATGAAAGACATCCCTAGTTTTACAGCTAATCCCACCCCAGGCACAAAACTTTCATACTCGGTAATTCATAAAAAGATTCTGATCATGTTTTAAAGCAGCTAAAGGATATATTTGCCAAGGTCTATGAGACAAACCCATTTCTTTCTAATAACCAGGCTTTAGGTAAGATTGCCATATATTTATTACATCACTGCAGTGAAGTAGGCTATGCTCAAGCTAATAATTTATAAAATATCTATGACCCAATACACAGTAGGCTTAAAGATACTGACTGAGCCCATGAAGGGACGAAACACAATACAAGAGCAGGTCGAACTGGAGCAGGAGGGCCAAGAAGCGTTTCTTTGTTAGAGTGTTTACAAAGGTACACACATTGATGACATCATTAATTTTTAAGTAATATTTTAAAGTGAAGTAAAAATAGTAAAATAAGAGGAGAGATTGTTCCAGAAGCCTGGTCATCTTGATAAATGGATTTTGGCTTCACTGACAAGGTTGGGGTTTATTCCCAATGGAAACCCTAATAAAGTGTGTGCCTATTTGATGAAATTGTAAGTTGAGTTTTCATTATTTTCAAATTTACACTCTGCGCCCTACTTTGATTTTCTGTGTAGCATTCTCTCCCTTTTGTTTATTTGTGGAATCTTCCTTGAGTTTTTTCCTTTTTTGAAATAGTAATAAGCTGATGAAATGTTTTAAATTAATATTTCATTGGATGGTTACTTATTTCGGGCATTTTAGAGAATGGGAAGCCGTATTGATTTTTCTGGCAACTTTTGGATTTTATTTTTGGTGGAACATAATATAATAAAGCGTATTTGATGAAACCGTAGGTTGAGTCTTTAATATTTTGGAAAATTTTATTAATATTTTTATTCAAATTTACGATCTTCTCAGAGTAGTACAGTGTGTAACTTTTGCTCACAAATGTGGCTTTAGAGTTCATACTATGCCACAGAATTAAGGTTTGAAATTTAGGATTAAATTTACGCCTAAGTTGGGGACTGGACGAAATTAGGTTGAAAGTTTAGGCTTGAGTTAGGGATACTGACTTAGCATGAAGATTTTAAGATTGAAGGTTTTTCATTAAATTTTAACATCTTGTTTCTAATATCTTTACTTTCCTTCTCTGTAAGTAGCTAAAACAGCACATTCTCTCTGCAAGTGTTGTGATTTGTTATAACTTCTTGCCGCATATAATACATAAATAGAATAAAGTTGCTACGTCTGCAGCTGATAATTTTCTTGAATTTTCTATTTTTCCCCCTTGTTGTTTACTACTTTTTTGATTGCGTGCTGTCTTGGCAACAAATATGGCGGCTACGTATGATTTTTTGTTTTTTTTAAAAAGGATTACAATTCAATTTAATTACACATGGACATGACAGTCAAGCCATTACCCCCCTGCTCCAATTGTCACAGAGCACTGATTCAGTATTTAATATTCATAGTTAATCACTAGCTAAATGATAGGCTTACTTAGGCAACCTACCCACCACTAAGTTAGGAGGCCTTTGGCAGTTAAAAACTTAACTTATTTCTTATAACTTATCTGGACATAAAGTATGAAATGAAGTGGCATAGCCTACTTAACTATGCTATTCGGATGTCATTTGTGGTGGTTTATTTTAGTTAAACTGAATAATTAAGTTTACAAACATATAGTCCATTCAATTATCTTTCATTCGATGCCTCATTTTATCTTACAAACCCAACAATAATATTTTTAACATTTTTTAATCCCAAGGTCCCAATTGACCTCTCACTTTTACTTTTGGTAGCCAGTCAGGGTCCGGATAGCCACTGCCACAGTATTGCTATTAGTTAGGCATAAACATGGTGTTATGTAACACAATATATAAACACATTTCAACATTAGTTAATATTATTATAATAATTATTATTACCGTTTTACTCATTACTGCCTTGACTTAACTAAATAAAAACATTGGTTATCAATACCACTGACCACACATAAGTATAGAGTATAGAGTTAGTATGTATAGGTAAACAATACATGCGAAAATAAAAAAAAATCGATCAGATATAATATACGACCCGAATTTTCAATGATACATTTTAAAAGTTATATGAAACAATAGAAATGGTAATTCTTTACAAGCAAAGAGCACAGCTGTAAAATGTGTAGTGCAGTTGCCACGTATATAAGTAACATAAAGTGAGCTATTGATGCCGTCAAATTATTACCTTGATCAACAAATATGACAGTTGTCGGTATGATAAGGAGTAGCAGGATAATAAAATTTCCAAATATTTTTGCCATTTTCTTGTTTTGAAAACACGCAATTAAGATAGTTAGCGATGTTATTAAATGTTTATTTATTGTTTCCACATCCAAAACAACGGCTAAACAGCCGGAACTTAGCGGCAACGGAAGTCACACGAAGAAGTTTAAGACCAGGGTGATCATTGGTAAAATGTTTTACCGATGAGCCAATAGAACTTACGATAACAATTTACTTTTACTCACTCAGGGAAGATGTGTTACGAGGATGCAGACTTTCCCCGGCTATAGAGTATATCTCTATTAGAAGTTCAACTCGAATAGCAGGTGCTTGCTTTTTATTCACTCTTCGAATGTTATTCCAACATCAAAACGTTAAATAATTTTCGCATGATTGGGAACTAAAAAATAATTCGCTCCAATAGCAAACTACATGAGTTGAAAATTGCAAAGGCAACACAATCACTTTTTAATTTTGTAATATTTTATATATTTATTCATTCAACTTCATTGTTGATGTTTCATTTTTTCTGGACACTTATGTCTGCAGTAATAACGTAAAGTAAACAATATTTTTAATGCGATGCCAACTTCTACTGCAGACTACTGTACACATTACTCTACTGCAGCATTCTATATTTGCATCATTAAAATTAAAAATACTAAAACTAAAAGCTAAAACTAAATTTTAAAGAGCATTTCTTGTCGGAGTCCGCCAGGTTCTATCTATGCTGCACTCATCATAGTAGTAACTCAATTATTTAAAATTATTATGACTATACATACTATGATTCATACATACATTCATAACTTATTGACTCATAGGTACATATAACATACATAACACCTTCGATAAATAAGACTATCAAGACTTAGAGGTCCATCATTATCACTGATGACAGTGATGATGTACAAAATAGTTCATTAAAAAAATTATATGAATAGTAGTACTATAACTTATCACATCAGTTTTTTTTGTACAGTCACAAAAAGCAATACTAATTTAATAGTATAAATTAAATTTATAAATAGGCTAGTGGTAGAAATAAGTTATTAATACAAGGCACAAGGCCTTATACTTATACTATTAGTATTAGGTTAAGTAGTCTCTATTAGTACTATTAGTTACTAAAACTATGCCAGGCAGCAGAGTAAACACCTACATCCTATAGGCTATATTTTATATTATATTTATAATTCATGACCACCACAGTGATATTGATAATATAGTGTTGGTCATTATAAACTTTATAAATACAGAGCCTCTGTGGCTATGCTGTGGAAAAGCTTTTCTTGTGGAGACCTAAACAATTTTCATAGATATATTACAAATATATTAAGTACCCACAAGATTCATGTTGACAGTTATATAATTCCATATAGTTATAGTATTGTATAGTATAGGTTAATGCACTGGGATATCATTATAGTTATATTATAGTAGTTATTATGGAGTGTGGACATGAAATGTAACCTAAAAACAGTGAGATTATTATATTATGTGGTCCATTCTTGCTCTTGGAATCTGTGTGTGGTAGACATCCAATCTCATTATTAGGTGCTTTTTTATATAGCGCAGTACCCCAGCCTAAGGCTAAGGCTAGGCTCACTGCGCTTTACATAAAAATTATCAAAACAGCGTATACATTTAAAAACATTTGTTAAAAAGCTTGACCTCACCTACCCAAATACCGTTTAGCCATGGACAGCACCCATATGGAATTGATGCATTGTTGTGAACATTTAGAGTGAAAATATAAAGAAAAATTCACTTGAAAGACTCAAATGTTTTTGGAAAAAGAATCATGGACACATATATGCAAAAAACTTGTTCGTATTCTTTTAAGTTAGTGGTAGTTTCCTGACATTCTATTCAACAGTCCACACAAAAATATCACTTTCAAATATTTATTTACACTTCATTATATCCATGATTTGATGTTGAGCAGAAGCTTCACTGAGCATGACCATGGGGAGGGTATGGAATTAACAACTGTCCCTACACATATTAAAATATAACACTATAATAGTGGATATGTTACTTTTAAAGAAGGTAAAATGGAGAGAAATATTTGATTGTATTACTGGGGAATGTCTGCCCTCCACCCACCCTTAACACATGTATATATATTTTTGTTATGGATTTTTTTTTTATGATATAACTAAAACATTTTCTCATGTTCAACACAAGTATTGAATGATACATTTTGTAAGGGGTGCAAAAACTTAGAGGTACTTATACTTTTAACCATATTTCTTTATAAATGTCACATATAAACAATTAATTTTTTTATTTGGTTTTTGCCAAAACATCTATCTGGATATTTTTGCATTTGTTTATGCATTTGTTTTGGTTTAGTTTTGTCTGTTCTTATGTGTCTGTTAATCGTATTTTTATCAGATTGATTGATGAATTAAACTCAAATTTCCATCATCTAAGCTCAGATCTGTCAACTTAAAAGAGTTACAAGAGCATTGTAATCAGCTAATACATTCAAATTTTAATGAAGTATCTTTTGCACTAAACTTATCAAATAATTTTAAAGACTGATGTGTTTGAAAAATTCATAAATTTATATGTTAATTTCCCTTAAAATCCCACAAATTTTTCTTTAAATTTACATATTAAACAGATCTTGATACCTTATGTTAAATATAATGTATTTAAAAAAAAAAATCAAACGCAATAGTAATATTGTGGCCAGAGACTGCAGAATTCATAATAGCAATACCAAAACATGGGCCATGGCTAGTCGCAAAGTGGCAACCTAAGCTTCCACCCTAACCAGGAAGATTAAAACAAACATCTTTTGGTTAGACGCAAATAGAATTTCGGCCTTTCCAGTGCTTTAGATGGGAATTGTCTAAGTCAGAGTATTAAAAAATAGTACCAAGATTGATGGATTAATGATGAGACTTCTTGCTTTAACTTTGAAGCTGATCTATATTAATGCAAAGTGGTGACCAAACATTGGCCAAAGATACCTTTCTCAATATATGCACCTCAGATTCCTGAATTAATAGCATCTTTAATCATGCTCAACAAAAATAGTATGAAGTTAACTGTAGTGACCTATTAATGAAGACTACAAAGATTGAGGGTTACTTCGTATTAGTTTAAATTTAACTTTAACTTGTTAAATTAATCTAAAACTTTTTACACCAATATGGCAATCAATAAGTGTTCAATATTCATTACATTTAAAAGTTTGAGTGATTAAATAGACTATTTGCCTGTGTTTTTAACTCAGAAATGGACATATCAATTTTTGAAGAGTTTTTAAAAAATTGTTTATTGGGTTTGATTCAAATTGTATCAACAACTTTGGGAGGAAAATATTTATTGTAACACTGTTAACTCTACCATTCTGAAAGAGACCATCTGTACTCTTATGTATTTTTCATCTTACATATGTCTTTACATCCATTGCCTCAACTAAACCCTGCTCTGTGTGACGTTTTAAGGATGTGCTCTTTGTTTTGGTACTGTGTTGAATATTGAAAATTGTGATCTCTGTTTTAATATTTCTAAAATCAGAAAATTTCGTAATTTCTTGTAAAATTGAATAGAGTCGATATAAGTAAATTCCACTGCCAAACATGTGCAGAGATAGAATCATCAGAAAACATTTAGAAGGTAAGTAATTTGTAGAGTATGACAGGAAAAACCCTCGTGGATTGTGCTGTTGTCATTATAATGACATGTCACCTAGTGTTTTGGACATTTCTTAAACGGATCTTTATTCCAGCCATATAGTTCTTTTGTTGTTGCCTTTACTGCAGAATTATGCTCATCTTGTTATTGTGATCTCATTCTTGTCAACAATCACAATTTTATAAAGTCGCTTATTATGTTTTGTATGGTATGCTCATAAACTTCTATACTTAAAGAACTATGCAACAGTTAAATTTAACACAAACTGTTTAAATTTAATTCAAATTTGAAAATTGAATTTCAGATTTTTCGTATGGGAATCCCAACATTAAGCTAAATTATTTGATAACAAAAGGGTCTGATGATTTTTGTGAGAGATGTGAGAAAACAAAAGTAAAGGAAAGCATTACTTATCTCCCTTATTACATAAAACTCATGACTTTAAAAAAAGCTAGAAACGAGCAGTGTAGAAATAAATATGACAACATTTTGGGGATATATTCACTTTTTGATCATATTTAGGATTAAGTTAAAGTTGAAACATCAATATTGCTGTTATCTGGTCATGTCTTTCTTACACTTGACATAGTTTAGTTTTCAATAATTGTGGGTAATCCCTTGATTCAATTGTCACTCATTAAAGAAAGACTATTTTGGAACTTCAGCATTTTTAATAGGTTGATTGATGGGTATGCAGGCCATTTCTGGGTTTGTAGTAATTGGTGGGTAAATTTGTTTTTAGGCGTTGTTGAGTAAATGGGTTTGTAGTCATGGGTGAGTAACTGGGCATGTAGTCATTGGTGGGAAACTGGGTATGTAGTCATTGGTGGGGAAACTGGGTATGTAGTCATTAATGGGAAACTGGGTATGTAGTCATGTTTGGGTAACTGAGCATTTAGTCATTGGTGGGAAACTGGGTATGTAGTCATTGGTGGGGAAACTGGGTATGTAGTCATGTGTGGGTAACTGGGCATGTAGTCATTGGTGGGAAAATGGGTATGTAGTCATTGTTGGGAAACTGGGTATGTAGTCATTGGTGGGAAACTGGGTATGTAGTCATGTGTGGGTATATAGTCATTGGTGGGTAACTGGGCATGTAATCATTGGTGGGTAACTGGGTATGTAGTCATTTGTGGGTAACTGGTAATGCAGTCATTTGTGAATAATTAGGTGTTTTATCAGTATAACTAGTTGTCCAGTTTATTTTAACAGTGAAACTAGTTGTCCAGTTTATTTTAACAGTGAAACTAGTTGTCCAGTTTATTTTAACAGTGAAACTAGTTGTCCAGTTTATTTTAACAGTTAAACTACTTGTCCGGTTTATTTTAACAGTGAAACTAGTTGTCCAGTTTATTTTAACAGTGAAACTAATTGTCCAGTTTATTTTAAAAGTGAAACTAGTTGTCCAGTTTATTTTAACAGTGAAACTAGTTGTACAGTTTATTTTAACAGTGAAACTAGTTGTCCGGTTTATTTTAACAGTGAAACTAGTTGCCCAGTTTATTTTAACAGTG